TCTGTGACCATTCTCCAGGAGAAGAGGAAGCAGCTTTTGGGACAATTGGGGAAAACTGATGAGGGATCCTGTCTTGTAGGAGACTGCCTCCTGTCCATCAAGCCCCAGGAGAAGTCAGAGGGACTTCAGCTTAATTTTCAGCAGGTAAGGCAAAGGTCTGGGGGCATGGGAGTTTGCAGGTTTGTAAGGGGACACCTAGGCTATGAAGAGAAGCCTTTCTTCTGCTTCTCAGGAAGGCCCCTTGAACTATGATTTCTTTTTTTTAAAAGATTTTATTTATTTATTCATGAGAGACAGAGAGAGAGAGAGAGAGAGAGGCAGAGGGAGAAGCAGGCTCCCAAGGAGCAGAGAGCCCGATGCGGGACTCGATCCCAGGACCCTGGGATCATGACCTGAGCCGAAGGCAGACGCTTAACCATCTGAGCCACCCAGGCGCCCTGATTTCTTTCTGCAGGGGGAGGAGGGTATATCTCTGTCCTAGAAAATGTGTTCCTTTATATAAGATAAAGAAGGGTTGAGGCAAGGGAGGAATGGAATGGCCTGTAAGAGAACCAGGGAAGAAAAGCAACAGGATTAATTTTTTTTATTTCTGGAGCTAGGAGTCAGGGGAGGGGAGGCTAGAGTAACCATCATTTTCTTCTCCCCCTGCCCAGCTTTATTGGGATATAACTGACATATAAGATTGTGTAATTTGAAGTTGCATAACGTGTTGATGTGATATAAGCATCATTTTCTTTTCTAACCCCAGAATGTGGACGATGCAATGACAGTGGTGCCTAAACTGGCCACGGGTCTGGATGTCAACGTGCGATTCACAGGGGTCTCTGATTTTGAGTATACTCCTGAGTGCAGTATCTTTGACCTCCTAGGCATACCTCTGTACCATGGCTGGCTGGTTGATCCGCAGGTGAGGGTGGGATGGCCCAAATGAGACTCTTATCCAACTCAAACTGACAGACAAGCAAGGTGTTGTGGGGTGGGTGTTAGGGAGTTAGGGATTAGATTGGCTTGGGAAGGGAATAGGCATTAGAGGCTGGACCCAGTGCAGAATTCCTTGAATTTTAACCTTTCTGAGGGGCAAACATGGGCAAAACCAAATGCAAATAGGTCAGTTCTTCAGAAATGCAGTTTCAGGAACCTTTGGTTATAGGGTTGCAATCCTGTGGGCATGCTTCGTTTCCTTCCTAAAAAGTTCTTAATTGTTTTGGTACCACCCCACCCCACTGCCCATGCAGAGTCCCGAGGCTGTGAGCGCAGTTGGGAAACTGAGTTACAACCAGCTGGTGGAGAAGATCATCACCTGCAAGCACTCTAGTGACACCAACCTTGTGACAGAAGGTGGTAGAGCCCTGCTTTCTCTTCTGGGGGTCTTATGTGGAGGGAATGATGGCTACCTCGGTGTATTGTTTACCGTCTGTCTCCCCCCACCACATCCCCCTAGAATGGAAACCCCATGAGAGAGAGTTGGGGGAATTGGCTGTTGCGTTCAGGACCTAGGGCTGTGCCTGGCGCAAGGTGGCCGCTCAGTAACTATTTGTTGGATGAATGAATACAGCCAGGCTTCAAGGGATCTCAGAAGGTGGGACCATCCTTAGGGCTTCTGACAGGGACTCTCTGGGTGATCCTTCTTCCCACTGTGGACTTTGGATTGAAGCCAAGCCCCTCGTGCGCCATTTTGTGCCTTCTGACAGGCCTGATCGCAGAGCAGTTCCTGGAGAGCACTGCAGCCCAGCTGACCTACCACGGGCTGTGTGAGCTAACAGCAGCTGCCAAGGAGGGTGAACTTAGCGTCTTTTTCCGAAACAACCACTTTAGCACCATGACTAAGCACAAGGTGATGAGGCTTTGGAGATGAGACGGGGGTGGGGCGGGTGGAGTGCTGTCACTTCCTCGAGGTTTTTTCTTCCGGGTCAGTGTGTCCGACAGGATAGGGTAGATTAAGTTCAGGTACCAGATGACCCCGAGAATCCCTGTGCTTTACCACAGCCAAGGTTTATTTCTCCTGCTGGATGGCCACTGCGGCTTGGCTGCCATTCTGTCCCACATCGTCTTCGCTCTGGGACCCAGGCTGACAACACGGCCTTCATCTGGAATGTGGGAGGGAAAAGGGAGAGAGGGACACCATGCACCCGCTTTTAATGCTTCTGCCTAGAGATGACACGTGTCATTTCTGCCACCTTCTCACTGGCCAGAGCAAGCCATACGGACTCAGCCTGGCCTCAATGGGACAGGAGAGTAAAGTCCTCTCCCAGGAAGAGAATGGAATTAAATGGAAGAAGGAAAGGTCTTTGGCTCTCCAAGGATTTAGGCCAGCTCCGAGACCCACGGGGAGTAGGGTAGGGAGCAGCGTCCCGTGTGGGCCCCGGGCCGAGGCCTCCCGCGGGACCACGGTGCCCGCCCTCCTCACGCCGAGCCGACCGCCGCGCC